ATGTTCTTCAATAGGGATGTGATTTGTCAAAGATTGTTTATACAGAATCCAATGTTGCTTGTCAAGAATTCAATCGATCAATAACAACCTGCTATTTCTTGCAAAATCAATCTCCATGATCTTGGTGTGCATGCACGTATGGGTTCAATATGGCGAAGCCAAAAGTCTCCCAAGTCCGTTTCATCAACTTGGCGGAGTGCATCTTCCTTCTTGCGTGCAGCCTTGTCCTCATAGATCACATAGTACTCCATCTTCTTTTCATCGTACTGCCAATGCCTCCCAAACATGTGAGGGGCATCAAAGTATGGGATTGATTTTATTGTTTGTGAATTATTAGGCTCTCTAAAGCAACATCATTGATTAAATTGATTGATTGAGTGTTGACTGGCCTGCAAAGGGACTCTGGGAACTTCTTGCAGTACTTGATGATTGCTTTCACAGAAGTGTTGGAATACTTTCCCGACTTCCGCAAAGCCTCCTCCGTATACCAACCGCCAAGAATCTCTTCTGTGCGGCTCTCCAACCGCTCCCTGATGAGCTTGGTCTTCTGAACAAAGTCGTTCTGCAAAGTATCAGGGCTGGATGAAATTTATATAGGGTTGACTAATCACATGCACATGCACAAGAAAATGTGTATATATATGTTGTATTCGGAACTGAGATATATATGTTTTCAATTGGTTTAGGTTCATGTGGTGTCCATGCGAGATTGTTTCAGAACCATCAAACCTTCCTATCATACACCACCCAATCAAAACATATAGCCTTGATTCTCTTGTAGTTGGAACGGGCTGTGCCAAAGCGAGACAGTGACTCGAGTAACGCCATTTCCAAGGCTTCCCTTTGTTCCCCTCCAGCCCGCCATTGTTCGGCTATGGCAGGATCAACTTGGAGCTTTCCAGCAGGAGTCCTCTGGCAAAGGCGCCTACAGCGCATCCGCAATGCGTCGGTCGTGATGTTGACCTCAGAGGGATGATTGTTTTGGGACCCCAAGCCATGCATGGTTTTAATGGAATCATAATTGAATGGAATAATGGGATCATGCACCACACCATTTTTATAGGTCATCAGTATATAATTGGAACAACAAGGGACCTGTTGCCCAGAGGGTGTGGTGACCCAACCATCATCTTCATCTTCATCACCATCCGATGACTCGTTTTCTTCATCTTCCACTGGCTCTTCCACTTCCGGTGCCGGTGTGGCTTCTGGTTTGGCTGAACCCTTCTTAACACTTTCTGCCGGTTTGACTGGTGTTGTCATGGCTTTCATGTTAGACTCCAAAGAACTCACTCGGTTCAAAGTCTGTTCAAGCAATTCCTGAAGCTTTGAATTGGCAAGGTCCTTCTGATGGTTTTGGTTCATCATGTCTTTTTCCTTCTGCGTCAGTTCAAGTTGTTTTTGAGACAACTGCAAACTCAAGCGGGTCATCTCATCCTCCCGGTTTTTGGCATTCATCTCAAGTTTTTGGATTTTTTCATGCAAGTCCTCTGGCTTCTTCTTCTCAAGATCCACCAACCTCTGCATCTCAACCTGCATGTGATGTATACAAGGGATCTATATAAGTGGAGGGGGAAAAGATCAATCAGAATAAGTGGATTCTCGAACACTATATAAGAATCACGTGCCTCTTTGGCAACCAATTCAAAAGAAGCTGGAGTCTTTGGAGTTGCTCCACCACGTGAGGCATCAGGGGATGGCAGGTCCTAGGATGTCCCAAAAGGCATTTGAGAACCCCAAGAAGTCTACGACATATGTGAAAGATTAATTGTTATATAGCCGGGAATCTGCTGGAATTGTTTCTTGGTCAGCAGAGGCTGCAGGTGCAGGTGGCAGATCTGGCACTGCTGGTGCCACTGGCTCTGACACCTGACAACAGCAAACCTGTGTGCATATATTTATACCCATGTGCAAAACATATGTCTATATATATTAGGATATATACCTTATATATACTATATATATGAGTTTACCCCTATATAGATATGGATCCACCATTCCAAGATCGATATTCCAAGACACCTTACGCGTCTCCTTGGGCGATGCAGGTGGCTCTTTCTTGACAGCCTTCAAGCAGTCAGGAACCTCAGATTGCCGATGCTAAGCAGGTCACGTTATAAATCTTTGCAATCATTATACTGAGTCTATAAAACATATATATAAATCTCGAACAATCTCGACCTCTTTGGGGGGGAAATGACGGCAAAGCCAAGAAACGGTGTTCTTTTGTCCCACAGCCTCCAAGAGCAGTTTTGTCACCTGGTCCAATTGGGTATATAATAAACGGACGAGGTATATGGTATTATATCTATATAGATTATATATTAGGTGCAGGTTCGTTCAGAAAATATACATATTTAGAATTCTTTTGAAATCCAACATGGACTGGGATAGAGGAAACCATGTTTTCCAAACCTGGCCTCCAAATAGTCTTGGGTTTTCAAAGAAAGCCCAGCTGCTTGGGCAGCCCGAGACACACCTTCCTCTAGGGTTGTGCAAGACCAACCGTTTGAGGGAAGGGACGACACCATTGAGTCACAAGACATAATTGGGAGTCAGATAACCCCATGCAGCGTCGCACTATATACCAAATGGCTGAGACATGATCAAGTTACCACATTCAGAAGTTCCAGTGATAAAAAATGTGAAGAAATTGAGTTCTGATTCTCATGGACAGCAATGTTCCACAGCATCATGTTGCTAATCTCACTTTTCTCAAAGATCTGTATAGTCATCATGGGTCAGACCACGACGTTCCATGCAAAACTAATCAGGTCTTCAGCTGAACACCCCAATCGACCCTATTTTTTTGAAATGGGTTTGACAATTCTTTCAAAAATTGATCTGGATATCTGTTTTTTTGAGAATTTCTGAATTATCCCAAAAAATGCCTAAAAAATGTTAGTTTTTTACGTAATTTTTATGTAATATTTGCACATCTCGAACGTAATTGAACGTCTTTTGTATGTAATCTGAACGTAATTCGAACGCTTTATGGATATTCATGTCCCCAGAACGGTTTTTCACGTCCTTTTACACATCTCAAGATTTGTGTAATTTTGTGTAATTTTGAGGTGCTGGCTGGGAATTTAAGGTTTCCTATAATATTTGCTTGTAGGTTATACCGTTTTCGATCTTTGCTTGCAAATTTTATCTGTGAAACCATGGAAACATATGGAACCCGTTGGAAACCACACGGAATCAGGTAAAATGTAAAAGACTATTGGTCCATTTGCAAAGAAAATATGGGAACACCATTGCGCCATTGAATTTTAAGATTGGGGTGTTGAATTTGTAGCTACCTGCAAGAAAAAAAGGTCCCTTCAGTGGCTGGAAGCACTGGAAGCCTCATTTTTTTGAAGCCGTTGCTGTTCTAGCTTGTGTAGAATCTCCAGTGCTTCCGGAAAGGCAGCACGCCACTCTTCAGGGATATGCAAATATTTGTACCCTCGAAGATATTTCAAGGATGGTAACAAATGAGCTTCATCCCAAGTGCTGCATGGTGCTGCTGCAAACACAGCTGGTCCCGTCAAATCATCATCAACCTGTGGGGCACCCTCTCCACCAGTAACGAGGTTGGGGTACAGGGTCCGGATGCGTTTGGCAAATCCTTCTGGGTAAATCCTCAGTGGCCAGAAAGGGTGGTAACATGTGGTATTTCCTATATATACATATAAAACAAATTAACACAGGGCTATGCAGTTGGTTAAATGCACATTTGCAGGTTGCACCATCACCAAAATTGAATATACTCAAATTGTGATGGTTGAGTTTTTTCGATCACAGTCATAAACACCAATGGACACAATTTAAGGTGAGCACTGTGTGTTCTTCAATTGCGGAGTCCCACTGTAAGATGCTTTTCCAGTTTTCTTGCTGATGGATTTCTTGACTGTGACCGCAGAAGAACCATCACTTTTCTCCAACCATGGTTTGCCCTTGCATGGTCCCACATCCAATCTGGAAAACTCCCGATTGTTTGTCCATCCGCGCTGTGGCTTGAGTGAGGTTGCGCCTTCATAGGCCCCCATTTGCCACCGGAAGGTGAACACCTGAGATGCAGCGGTGGCTGTCTGGGAATTGATCAGATATATACTGTTGTCAAGATATGGATATATACAGTACATATTATTTTAAGATATAAGGGATCCATTGTATATATATAGAGTCACGTATCATCAAGTCTGTTTTGGATTGAAACTGGAAGAAATGATCATGAGAAAAAACACCTCCAGTAAGTTGAGATTCAAATTGATCACTTGGGTCACTTTCATCAAATCAGCTGGGTAACTTTGATTTGTCGGCAAAACCATTGCATACGAAAATATTCTCCCATGATAGAAGAGCGGGGTTGCTCAAGCAGCCAACTTCCTCCACATGCTGTGATAAGTCCCATCAGCAAAACGCACCTGGGTGATTTTGAGTCGTTTGGCTGGAACAAAGTTGTAAAGTTGGCTCATTTTATAAGGGGCAACCAAACACACCAAAAAGTGTATATATCATTGCATGGTCAAGGAACCTTGACATCATCATGTTAGCCTTTCTGATGTACAACTTTGACTCGTCCCCTTCTGGAATCAACAGTGTCCGACAGCTTGTGAACATATTCATGTGCACCCAAGAACTGCAAACTGTTGCAAAGACAGATGCGAAAGAGTCCATTTTGCAGGACAAGATGAGGTGGATATAGAGCCTCATTTGATGTCAGAAATTTGGGAGGAAGATTGTATATATATATATATATATAAGTTTCGGTTTGTTCTTCATTGCTCAACTATCACATTTAAAATGAAAATCAGCCTCATAACATCGATCATAAAACTGAGAGTGGAACCCCATTCCTGCATCTGAGAGTATATCAAAAGCATTTTGGCGACCATCTTCACTGCACATGTAGGCTACATCAATTCCTATTGTCTTCACGGAGTCAGCTTGAAGTGCCCGCCAAACCCTGCCACGACCAGCGAAAAACTCCAGAAATGTCAACTCCTGCAGGCAATGATGATGGATGGATGATGTTGCAGGAGGCCCTGGGTGGCATGGGCATTCAGCAATTGGGTATATATATATATATTTAATAAATTCAAAACGACCATCACCATATATAATATATAATATAACACATGGGATCATATATACATGTAATCGAGTCCTATTCAGTGAAACTCGTCGTTATTTGCATGAGCACAGTCCTCATCAAATGAAGGTAACTTGTATGAAAAGGCCACCAGGATGACCATGTACAGGAATATCTCAGCTGAAAATGGCTCAACCTAAAAATAAAGAGGAGCTGACCAACAGAATCAAAAGCTTTGTCAAGTCTTGGTTTGATGATTTGCAATGTGGCCAAGTAACCTTGGGAAATCCCATCTTTGCGAGACGCTTCACCACCAACGAAATGTTTTCCCGTCCAGTCACCATTGCAGTCGATTGCAATCCCGGACCAGCCCACACAACAGAAAAAGTGAAAACACAACAGGGCCCGTTGATATGCACATGGCATGAATGGGCACAATGATTTTAAGCTGTGTTCACATGTTCTGATTGAGATATATAGTGTGTTCATGTTTTTGTATATGCATTTTTTTTGCCATAATTATTTGTCTGCTTGCTAGTGGCTGGCATGGGATCAACGATGCATATATAGGAATGCAACACCACAGTACCAACACTGCAAAACGATGATTCATGAAGGCTTGCTCCATATGTTTGGAATGATTTCAAACCCCATGGCACAACATGTTGATAAAATACCGGGAGTAAGCGAGCCACAGTGGCCTTTAAAGAATTTCGGGTTGTTTGCGCCATATCTGAGAGCATTCCCAGTTCCCTTTGCGATCTTCCGGACCTTGCGCCGAGGCATGATGCAGCTGCAGCACCTGGCAGCGAGGACGGAGTTCCAGGGTGAAACAGGGCACTTTAGGTTTGGACACTTT